TGGAGGGCTGACTTGTAAAGAAATTGATTTGCATTACTTTAAATTTGCACAAGTTGATAACCCCGTACTTTCCTATAGGGGCACGATAATTCTAACGGTATTGCGTGCAAATTTTGAGAGTAAACTCTTTCATTGTGAGCTGGTCATGATCTAGAATAGTGAGAACCTTTTATTATGAAGGATATATCACAAGCTTGAGATAAAAAATAACCAAACTTGTCACAAAAATAAGTGACCTTTCATGAGAACTAGGATACCGGAATGATATCAAAGGTGAAGATAAGCCTACTGACCAGAGTTTGAACTCCTCTACTCCGAGAGGTAACCAGAGTGCGTGATACAACTTAAAACGAACTAATGACGGGGGGTGGTCAAGTCTTATCGAAATGCACAACAACACTATTTACATGCTTATTTCTAAAGCAGAATAACGGCGAAAGAGTTTTCTAACCGAACCATTTTTTCCACTAGATATGCGTAGAATAAGGTTTATGGTAGGACCAGAATATATGCTGCAACACCTCCAAAACTAAGTGAAAGCCTTGCTTTCACGGATCACGAACGGTATTGGGGTTCACGTAACACACAACCATGAAACTCGATCATCCAATAATATATTCCGCAGGTCCTGCTCTAATGATTTGAAGGACGGCACCAGCAAGTTAACATGAATGCCCTCTTTGTATGAACACATTGATATTTAGAGCCAAACTAACAACTCTACCAAGTCATCATCATGACCATCATCATCATTTTACAGGGTAATACAGTGAAACGAACTTCACTGATCGCTGCCAAAATCACAACACATACAAGATAATTAAGTTACGGTAAGCAAGGTAAAGACGACAGAAATTCGGCCTATTTTAAGAAACGGGCAAAGAAAGTGAGCCTCTATGATCAACACACTGAGAACACAGTCCAACTGTGCATGCATACTAGTTCAAGCATTCTGACCTGATAAGAAACGACAACAAGAACGCCACTGCTGTCGGTTCGCTG